CAGAATTCCTTTCTGACACTACAGAAGTAACTCATTTTCTTATAGTAACGAAAAGAAGCATTTAGTGGGTCTTCAAGTGATCCTTTTAAAAAATCAGGCTTTCTTAGAATGAGTTGATAATGGAATAACTCATACTGCTCCAAATTTCAGTATATCCAAAATTCATTGAAATCAGTGCATAGGATTAACTTTGGGCAAAAATAGAATGCAGTTCACAGAATTAGCAGTGATGCTAATTATGTTTCTGTAATCTACCTTTCAGTCAGGTCAGTGAATCAGGTAATTCTTGTCTTCCCAATGTTACTGTGATATCAAGAGAAACTCTCTATCCAGCCTAGCTCCTTACACGACATCAGATCTGAGAAGTTTCTTCGGTTGTATGGTCTAATGATATGTGATTGACCATTAAGTGTGCATTGTATATAAACATCAAATTTTCTACTACACACTTTTTTTGCTCTACTCACATATCATTTCCCAAACTTCTGTGGCTCTATATGAGTTTCATATTCAAGGCCGATTGCAACACTTACATTGGCTGACTGGACTATTTATTGGACTCTAGGGTATTTTGATCAGCATCAAATAAAACACTCCACAGTGGGCTAAGGTGCAGAAGTTCACCATCAGAGCCCCCAGGAAATGGCATGCAATATTCCAAAAACCTCTTTTTTTCACTATCCTTTACCTTAATTTTCTTTTACACCCTTTTCTGTAATATTATTGCATTTTTTTAATTTAAAACATACTTTCATTTCCTTAAAACATTAACTTTTATATTCCTGCTAATATGTCTGCAAAAAAGAAACATTATGAGAATAGTATCATTAACTTTAAATTACTACTAACAATTCAACATTAATTCATTTTATTATTATTTTTAATTTTAATAATAGGTCATAAGCACATAAAATATTTTATAGAAAATACTGCTTAACAGCATTTTAATTGTTAAGTGAAATCTGCTCTTTATAGGTGTGTTTGGCTGTGCAGAAGTCATATACACAGCTGTGACCAACAAATTGTCTCTAAACACTTGTGGTTAGTAATAGCCATATGTCATGTATTCTTAAAATATCTGCTAGTGTATTAGGGGAATACTCATTCCAGTGTTGTAATGACTGTAATTGCCAGGAATATATATCAAATTACAGTTAACTAGGACAGATTTTTCACTTTCCTATACCTTAAATGAGATTTCTGTGTACTGTTGATGGAAATAAAGGGTAGCTTTTCTTGCAGATTTTGACACATTAACCATTACTACTGCATCCTGTTCTCAGTTACATGGGAATAATGCCATAAATTGTGATGATACAGGTCTTTGAGATAGTGTGAGCTATCTGCATTACCTTTTCTGTAAGGGAAGTTTGCTGCAAGCAGGTTACTAATTCAGTCTTTCTAGAGAATGGTCTCAGCTAATAAGCAGATTTGGAAAAACTGGAACCACAGGTGAACGTGATGGCCTTGTATTCATGCTCTAAGTGTCTAGCTGGTTTCCATGGGAAGTATTACCATGTTAAAAGTTATTAAGATTAAAAGGGAAAAAAGTAGTTTGTAAACGGCACTCAATAGATAAGGTATTTTTCTGGCAACTTTCTCCTTTAAGCCTTTCCAGACATCTTAAAGCCAGTCCCAGATATATAAGTGTATGAAATGCAGAAGTCTACTTTTCATGGGGAGGGGAGGTGGATTTTGGCTGTGACCATATTACACTGTCAATGTGTTTTTCCACCCAAGGAAAGGACCAGTCATTCCACACAGGTTTAGTCCATGAGTCAAATAAGGAAAATGTGTGGAGTGTAAAATCCTCCATCCAAAGAAATAACTTCCTTCCTGTACACAGGTTGCAGCTTTTCCTCCATACTCTCTCTGTGCCTGACCTTCAGGCACAGGTCATTCAGCTTCCAGAGTTTAGACAAGCCAGTTTGCTGAACATGTTCATCTGTCATTTGAGCCAGACTATCAAAAAATTAGTTGCAAGTGAATTTATTTCCAGTATCTGGATCCTAACCAATCTCCCATCATCTTTTAGATATCAGGAGGAGACTTAGTTGCTTTTCTAGAAATGGTTATTGGCTTTATGCACATATATGCACCTTGATAAATAGATACATTACAAGGTGCAACAAGATCTTACCCACTAGTAGTACTTGTACTTTGACAGAAGGATCCTGAAGTCGTTTAGAGGATGCATTTGACTGACAAGAATGTGTTTCTGTCTTCTTTAATACAGTGTGCCACAATAAATCTGGAAACTCACGAAGTGGGAGGGGAAGTGTCAGGGCTGCATTGGCTAGAATCTACTATCCATAAAGAAAGTCCTTCTCAGTTATAACAGCTAACACAATTCCTATTGCTAATGACATTCCTAATCTGTACAGTCTAATTCTCAGTCTGTACAATCTAGACATGTACAGCGTTTTCTGCCAAAAATGAGACATTTCTACCAGTGAATGTATAAGCCTTTCTTGGAAATGAATCTGCACTAAACTTGAATCCCAGGCTCTCAACAACACTGTGTTGTATTCTCTATGTAACTTGACAGGTGACAATTATAATTTTTTTCTCAATACTTGGGAGTGGGATTAAAGAAATACAGAAATAAGAATTCCTGTTCTTCCTCACCCCTGCTTTTTTTTAAATATTTTTTTCTCAGTGCAAGAATATTATTGAGTTTTATACAGAGCTTTGGACTAAGGATATGAATATTAAAATAATAACCATCTTGCTTCACCTGCTGAATTTCATCTCATTTGGCTAGTGATGCGTACTCCCTGTGGAGGATTCGTCTGCTTTGCTTACCTTATCTCTGAACATTTGATTAGAAAGACTTACACCATATCAGTTGCAAACACATGGGTCCACAAGATTCTGTATAATCCAAAATAGTCTGACACTATGCAGTAAAAATTAAGACTGGAAAATAAGACGGAGTCATGGAGATAGGAATAATCGTAATATGGAAAGTTAACTTTACTCCGAGTTGCACCAAAACTCATCAGGTTACGTCAGCACATTTCTGTGAACTGGGTGAAGAAGTACTGAAGCACTTTTGAGTATGTGTCAGTTTGGCAAAGTGTTTACATGTAGTTAAAATATTAAAGTGTGGTATCAGGCCACAAGTTTTAAAATTACTTGGAGATTTGTATTAACAGGCATAAAAGAATTGAAAACATACTGTTACGTGCTACATTTTATGGGTTCTATTGCTGTAAGGCACATCTGTCATGTGAATTAGTATTCTCTGAAGCTGCCAGGTGAACTCCCTGGAGAATTTATTTTTCTGATAAATACAACAAATTTAGCAGTATGGTGTGTTTTTGCCTCTGCATCTCTGGAAGGACAACTGTAGTCAGTGGTGTTGCTCTATAGGAACAGTTGAAGTGACTGGGGCAAAGTCCTGGCTGACTCATTCAGGAAACTGGGCTTTTGTGCAAGCTTGTTCAAGGCACCAGAATAGATTCTTACAGATGTTTTCTAAGGTTCCATATTTCTTGTTTCAAGACACATTTCTTTGACTTGGCCCTCAGTAGTAGAAGGATATAAAGCAGAAAATTTAAAAGAGAAACAGAAAAACAATTTAAAATGTGAAAGAACTACACATGACAAATATTACTGACAAAACCTGATGCACTTCTAGGAAGTTTTATGGTAATATGCTACAGGATAATCTATAGAGAAAAGAGAACTTTCTGGGGTTTATTTACAGAGGATAATTGACCTATTTCACTCCTTGTCTATGTGAGATGGACAATATATGCAGTAAATATCAGCTGAGATAGTGTATTTTTACAGTGATAGTCAGTCAACTTCAATTTGAAAATTTTTCACACCTAAGTGATAGAATAGTATTCTTATAGGAAGGCAATACACTAATATTGACTGACTCTTCATTGTTTTCATTTTAAAACCCTATGCCTTACTCAGATAATATTTTTTTCATTTTGGTTCAGTGAAATGTCCATCTAAGAAAAAATAATGGTTAACCTATAACAGGAAAGTTTCTGTGCCTTTTCTTTATTTCCTTTCTAAACTACCTTCCAACTTCCACAAATCTTTCTATAAGAGGAGTATGGAGTGTGTTGTTTCATTATTATGATATCTCGTCTTAAATCTTCTCTGGTAACTATTGACAAATGGTACACAGTAACACTTCTAGTGACTTGCTATTCAGTAGTTTAGAGCAATATAATGCAGACAGACCCTATTTAGGCTGAATAATATACCCTTTTTTGCATGAGCCTGCAAAAAAAGGTTGCTGGAGGGGGGAGATTTGACCGATTCTGCTGTATTTCTTAACAACAAAATTTGGTCATCCTTCTTTACGTTTTTTTCACAACTAAACAGAAGCTTTTGTATTTCCATTCTACTTCCATTATTTCTTATGCTGCTATCTGTACCATTAACAGAATCAATAAGGTCATATGGTGCTGCTATTTAGAAATATTTGTCTCAATAAGCAGTAATTTTGGCTTACCCTAGGAACACAGCTTGGGTAAAAAATGCAGAAACCTTGATAAACTGCAGTATTTTCTGTATTAATTGTTAAATGATGTAACCACATAATAATCTGGTGCATTCCTGTTGTTTCTTTACTACAAAGCAGTGTTGCTTTCCAGCCCACAGGAATTTATCATGACAGTGAATTTGCTTCATGTAGAGACCTTGAATCTTTAAGGCATCAGCCTTATGTCCTTCTGATCAAAATTAATCCTTACTAGTTCCATATATAATTATTAGCATCAGTTCCTTGTTCAGGGAAGACTCCTCACATGATATATCCATTATCTTTTCATAAAGGTGATCAGAGTCTTTTCCCATCATCCGTTCTTAGTTGTTGGAACCATGCTCTCACATGATCATTTTTCACCTGCAATGTCCTTCTTCTCCGCTACCACTTCAAAAAATATATTGCAGAACATTTTTATCTTTTGTCAGAGTTCTAGATTTGTTTTAATTCAGTTCCACTGTCTTGTCTTTCTTCCCATCTCTTTCAGAGGATAAAGTATGGACAACTGTGTACCATGATCTGCAAATGCAGACTTCCGTGGGAGGCAACAACCTGGAGAAGTTATCTGTACTGCAGCTCAACTACAGTGCAACAATGGACCAGATTTCTGCCATTACCAGTAGTGCTGAATACTGTGAGCAGTTTATCTCCTACTCTTGCAAGATGTCCAGGCTGCTGAACACACCAGGTAGGCTGAGAATGGGATATCCATTAAATATGGTGTTAAAACACTTTATCCAAACAATTTAACAAGTACTGCTGTTAGACTAGTTCATTCATTGAACAGACTTCTTTGTTCTCCTTCATTAAATTTGACAGAGGTAAATAACTGAAAATACAGAAGACATTATTTTCTTTTTAAAAATTGCCTATTTGCTTACTACTAAAATGATTTTTATTGCACTGTGTGTTTGTGTGTTCTTCTCTCAGATCTGTTGCTCCTAAAAGCAGGAGGCTTTTGGTAAACACGGTAACTTTTAAAGTTTAATCAATAGGGACATTGAAAAATTGCTTTGAACTTTATCCTGTTTTTCTGGTTGTCAGTTTTCATATGTTACAAGCAACAAGGGCACTGGCTGAATGAGGGCTGGAATTTTCCCACTAATATTTCTGAAACAGTTTCTTGAACACAGAGTATTTCTGGGTAATCAGATGCCTTACACATTGTAGGGACTGTCATGGTCAGTAATGCAGTTGTGTAAGAAATGATATGCTGCTACCTACAAGAAGATGCATTGTAAGTTTCTTCTTTTGCTGGATAGCTTTACTTGAAGAGAACAGTTCTAGTACTGCTTTCTGTATATGCCTTCTCAACAAGAGTTACTTGTAAGTGGTAAAGACAAAAGTATTAGTTGTTCCAGAATTAGTAAAGCAGCACATAAGGAATTCCATTTTAAAAACCCTTTTAATATGCATCTAGTACTTTATGTATGCTCTAACTGTATATGATAGATTTTGATGTTAAATAAATCTTAATGGTACTTAGGGAAGGCTGATTTATAAGTGGAAACATATAACACATTTTCATGATTGTGAAATGAGTTCATTGTTATAAGAGCAATTCAAATGCATTTCAGATTAATTTCATGGCTGCATGCTTACAGTGTTATACTTTAGGGTGCTTCCACTCATGAATTTATTTTAGTATATTTTCTTATGGTGCTATAGATAAGGATTCATTTGGGATGCATGTGGATCTTATTCCTATTTCCATAAGCATTCTGTTAGTTAATAGACACTGTAATGCTTGTTATTCCCTCTCCCTCCTTCTTTTTTTTTTTAACTTTTCTAATGCATGCTTTGTCTCTGTTGCCATTATTTTGCTTAATTTAGCGTAGCACAGAGACTCTGCACTGTGGAAAATGATTTCTTCTTTCTTGGGCCTTAATATATAGATCCTGAATCGTGTTCATAACTAGAAGTATTGTGATTAGATTCTGCTGATGGATACAAGCTTCCTGTTTGCATATGCTTCAGAAAAGTTGTATATGGGTGTATCTTTGGGCAGGTAATTTATAAGAAGGCAAATTATTTGTTAATGGAGCTGGAGATAACATGCTTGGAAATCCCATAGTTTACACAGAGTACAGTGTTAGATTCTTCTTCTTGAAATGTATAAGACTATTATTTCAGGACCAATTTGTGATTGTTAGCATATATTTATATTATAATAAAATAAATATACACCATAATTGCAGGTGTTCGCCCTAGATTTAGAAGGACAATTAAGCAGCATAACTTACTGAAATTTTTTTAAAGCAATAATCAGTTCCAACTATTTGCATTTTTAAGGTTCTTAGAAATTTGTGAGCATCCTTTGCAGTTACCTCCTTCTTCATGTTTTAACCTTTTTTATGGAAAAATAAATTCTTTTAGAAACTCTTTATAAACTAGTTTTTTGGTATGTAAAATGAGTTTCCACAGATATTCTGTAATGTGTTATTTTTTCCTTTTAAGTGAGAGAAAGATGCAACAAAGGCAGATTATTTCAACGTAGACAGTAACAAAAAATTACACTGCAGTGTTTGCATAACACCTGTTATGGTTTGTACACATAGAACAGCAGTGATTTGTGTGGTAGTGGGGAAGAGGCCAATACATTTTCTTTCTATGTGTTCTTGGCTTCAGTCTATGGTTTCTAGACCAAGGAACTAATTTTTCATACCTTTCTCTGTTTTGGAGGATTGCCATATTTGCTGAATATATTATGACACCCTATTCATCTCACAGCACAGCTCCAAGTACTCATGTGGCTTCTTCCACTGCTGAACCTTTTGTATAAATCATTGCAGTATGGTGCCTACAAAAAGAAATGAAAAAAAATCAACATTTATGTATTCCTTGGGAAGTGAGAACCTGTATTGCAGCCAGTAGTAAAACCTCTGCTGGCTTCACGGGATGAGGTCAAAATTTCCGGCCTTGACTTTAGGTGCTTTTCTAGGCTGAAACTTTTGCGTTTACATCTTTCAGATGTTTAACTAACCACGTAAGATAGAAAGCTCCTTTTGTTTTAAATTGTGTCAAAGAGAACTGAGAAAATGGAGAAGACAGTTCAGTAACTCAACTTTTTCACCTTTTCATCTCTTGGGGATCACGTCACTTTACAACACAGTTCCTTCTCAGGGAGAAATTGCTTAGTTAATATATTTAAACAAATCAGGACCTAAGCTGTTTATTGATCTTTTAATAGTAAGTATTTAACAAGCCATCAATGAACTATAGTTTTTGCTGGTTTTAGTTGTGCATTTCCTGACAAGGTTAAAGTATATACAATTGCACTAATATATGTTCTGCTGCTAATAATGGCTTAAATAATTTTTTTGTATGAAGTGGAAACTACATAGAAGTTCTGTAGTTTGGAAAGTTGTTGAGGAAAGCCTTCACATTGTTTTGTTGTGGGGTTTTTTTTGGCTACAGGCACAGAACTCAAAGAATTCTCCTTGTCATGTGATTTCAGAGAGAGACATGAAAAGTACTCTGTACAAACTAAGAATTCTCATTCTTCTGCTATGAGTTTTAGACTTTAAGACTTTATTGCTTTAGGTCCATGCCTTTTTTTTATTAATAATGGACTTTCATCCAAGCAAAATAACATATACATACCACCAAACAGATTAAAATCATTGCTGACAGTAGGGATTGGGAGTGATTTGCAGGTAACAAAGCCATTGCTTTTCCACTTAGTCTGAGGGAAGATGGTAACAAGACCTTTCATGTAAATTAAGTCATGAATGACTTCTGGGAACATTCCTAAAAACAGGAATGTCATAAGGCTATAGGATAGTTCAGGTTCAAAGAGACTGCAGAATATCATCTTGTTCAGTTTTCTTCTCAAAGCTGAATGAACAGTCCTCATCTAGTAATAAGCAAAGACTATGTAGAAATGCAATTTTCTGTCTTTACTGTTTGGGCTTTGGGGTATTTTTTGTTTGTTTTGAACTCGCAGCCCAGTATGTTATAAATTATGTTCAAACCTATAGGTCTGTTTCAGAACCTTAACTAAAGATCACCAGAAAAACAAAATTAGTCAAGATAGCTTGGTGACTTTCTTCAGAAAGTGCAAAATGAGAAACATCTGCTGAAAATACAGCATGCTATCACAAAAAAAGGTAAAACTATGGATACACTGTAAATTCTGAGGAAGCCATTTTCAAGCAGGGATCCTGCAGTGGGTGCAGTTGTCACACATTCTTTATGCTCCTGACTCTGATATAGATTTCCTCTATGATTGTAACAATTTTTATTTGTACTACCAACATGAGATTGATGCTTCTTACTCTCTATGTTGTCTATTTAGATAATATGTTTTTTCTTAGAATAGGAATTCCTTTGTGAATATGCAGTTATTATCATGATAGAGGCTTAATCTTGGTAATTCAAGTAACTATTGCAGTTAATAAATAAATGAAATAGTAAGCCCATGGATCATAATTGCAACCTCATAACAATGTACATGTATATGTAATTTGAAAAATCATAAACACAAGACTTTTTGTTTTTTCTCTTTTGTATTTGCATTTCTTGTATCCTCCTTTCCTTGTTTCCTTGGAAACTTCCATTTTGAGAGGATAATAATGTTTAGTACTGAGGATGTGCAAAAATCTTGTTGTTTTCTAAGTTCTTGATGTCCAGTTGGTGTGGCAGGTGATAGGACATTTGCCTTATTTGCAAACAGGAATTTGGAGATAGAAAAAAGTTCTTTTGTGCTCACTGATTAACAGTGGGGGGAAAGGCAATGCATTATGTAGTATCATTTTTCTCTTATAGAAATAAGCTCCCCTTCTTTGCTGTAAGAAACAAAATTATACAGAGAATAATGATAGGATATACTCACAGAACACAAAAGGTTAGTTAATAAAATTATATATCTTCATCCACTGTTTTCATGAGACTTCCTAATAACACATACATGAGAATACTTTGGTATGAACTTTTCCATGGCCCACTGATCTTTGCCTCAGGGAACAACATGCTGGTTCTTCCATTCTTCATTTTACCCTGGGAATAAGACCCTGAAGGGACGTGGACTGGTCTGTTCACTGTGTCTGTGTCCTGTCACTTCCCAGAGCTGTAGGAACTGTAACAAATAATCAGAGAGTGGGAGCTAAAAGCATAGATGTAGAGAACACAACAAGATCTCTTGGTGCTGTGTTTCAATTTTTATTCCTATTCACTGTGCCTGCAGGCAGCATATGAAAAACATACAGCAGAGTTACTGCAGTACATGAATTACTGTTTCATGTCTGTTTGTCTCTGGAGGAAATGAGAGAGCAGCTTCATGAATTCAGGAGTTTAACAGGTGAAATAGAAAACTTAATTTGATGTTTGGTTGTTTTAGTTACAATAAAGCAATCACAATACCAGTAGGAAGTAAGATTTATGTGTACACTGAGATAAAAACAAAGTTAAAAATTGCAATATGGTATTTTTCCTAAGTTGCCATCCAAATCAGAATTTAATGAACTTATGAACTTTCCCATCACCACCCACTGACTGATCTACAATGCTAGTTGCATATATAATTCCTGCTTAATAAGAGTTTTTCAGAAAGAGTCTGAGAGAGAAATGGGATTTCTGCAGTCCTACAGTGATGGATGGGATCCTCTCCAAAACTTGCTTCAGCATTCTGTTTTCCATGTTCTTTCAGAAAACATGCCCCTAAGCTTTCATGTATCTTGTCCAGCTTTA